AATTCGAGAACGTAATTTAATTTGAATAGCTTGTTTAACCAGATCTTAACAATCGTCACGTCGGTCAAAACTTGTTATGATTGTCTGAACCATGCGTAAAGAGAAAATCGAAACATTGAACGTCGCGTAAAGTGGATCTTTATGAAGGCCTAAGTACTCTTTCGTAGATTTTAGTTTTAGGATTTCAAAGATCATCGGTTTCAGTGGCTTGCTTACTGAGGAGAAAAACGCGGTCCCAGATCCTTTCATATGAAAAATATTAAAATATCGCTTGTTTATCGTGTATTTTGTAAAACTTTTCGTTGTCGTCGGTGCCGGGTTTGAATAGTTATAAAAACTTGAGTAACGCTATAATGTGATATGAGAGGCTCGGTGGCCTTAGAGCAACCGTTTCTGCTTACTGAGCAGAACATCATGAGCCTAATCTCAAGCCTATCCGCATTCAAGATTCGTCAATGATAAAAAGGAGCTCGTCTGCCTAGTGGCAAACGTTTTTGCTTACTGAGCAGACGACCGTGGGTTCAATCCCAAGCTCCTTCGCGTTAAACGATCGTTAGGACATCAATTCAGCTTATCGTTTACCAAAACGAACCCTGCTGCTAACCCAACCCTCTTACCCAACATCCCTGTGATTCCTCGTGGAAGTGCTTCCATCAAAGCGAGTGTCACGTCAACACATTCCTACCCATTCCTTTCTTGACCTGCGTTCAGGTGCGGCTGGCGCTGGTATTGCCTAATTTGAGATCACCAGTTTTTACACATTGAGGATGATTGCTAGTCCCAAGCATCGTCTATTGGTTCTCTGTGTAATTACAGCTGGTCTGGCAATAACAGAGTAGCAACCGTGGGCGGTCAATCATGCTCATGCTCATGCTCATTTCGATTGATGAAATGTAGCGAGTTGGGAATCTAATTTTTAACGTCCTTATATAAACCCCGCACACCTGTAAGCATATCGAGGACCAGAGTGGCCGGAAATTTTTATAAAATTACAAGCTTCATATCACCGTATTTTCCTAGCACCAATGCTAGATCGTTATCCGGGAATTATGGTGGGAGGTCGTACACTCTCACGTATTGAACGGTGTCCCCAGCAGGCGACATGCCTACCTCGACTGATTTACTCCAATCGTCATAATGGAAAATTAATTGTTTACGGTTGTGTAGCAAACAATGAAGCATCGATTCCTCGGATTTGATCTGGATAACAATAGATTTTTCCTCTGCAATGCGGTTAGTATTGATCACAAAATCTGCAATTTCATATATCTCGATGAACATTTCAAATGGTCCTATCTGCTTTGATCGATTCTCTTCATCGACTTTCTCTTTCGTTAATAACTCAGCTGCAAAACATTTCCCTGTTGTATTTGACGTTTTGGACGCTAGATAAGAACCTCCTTTATCAAACTATGTGGTAGAATTAGCGCGAAATCTGTTTGCATAGCAGTGGTTATGAAAAGAGAAATTCGATGAAGAGAATCGATCAAAGCAGATAGGACCATTTGAAATGTTCATCGAGATGTGGTTTTCCCCAGCCATGTGGGAAGCTGAATCTGACCATCTGCTTTATTTCCACCGATATCTCCACTAGTTGTAATGAGGCAATGGCAAAAGCAAACGAACTTTAAACAATGAGCAAGCACCGCAACAATGACTTGCTATAGAAATACAGACTATCGCGTGACTCGCACCGAAAAAAAGAAAACACACAGCTATTTGTGTCGACGACACCTAAGAGCAAACTGACGACCACGTTATTCCAAATAACGTGGCACTCTCCTTCCTCGAACTCCTCCCGAACAATTATTATTTGGTGAATGTCTGACGTCAGCATACCCTTGTCGGACTGAAAGTTTTATTCAAACAGGAATTATTTTCACTCAAACAAAAAACAGAACAATCTTGATCCATTGGATAGTTCCGTTAGAGTACGGCAGTGTGAAAATTTAACAGAAGTTGAAATTGAATGAAGGGCCATTGATGCGACAATACTAATCAATTGCGCACTCTTTTGCCTAGCTCACTTGATGGGTGAGGGGACTTGATCTATTTGACTTGCGCGTTTGACTTGCTGAAATACAGTGTGCGACTGTGGAATAGTTACAACCTAGCTACGGTAATTACTGTTTGTCGGTAGCACAAAGATGAGCAACAGAACGGCGATGATGAGGTATGATGCAGGTAAGTATCAACTTTCCCTATCATTCCAGGTTGCGGTTTTCGTTCAGGTAAGTTCAATAATTTCACTAACACTTTCTTCTCCCTTTCACGTATCCACTACTATTTATTACTAACTTTTCCTAATAATACATCCAGTTCACTTTTTATTCATACAAAATTCTCTAGCAATCAATTCTTCACCTTGTTTACGTTTCACAACGATGACGATTCAGCAAGCAAGAGCCCACACCAACGACGAATCGAGCTTTTTATATCCGAGGGGTGATCGGAAGTTCTTTTTCCACCATGTTGCCATTTCCGAAGGGCCGTTAACGTCATCCTTCAATGGTTGTCGGAGTCGGTCGACCTATCAATGTTCGAGGGGATCGGCGATGTCCACGTTGCAGGTTGACATGTAGGTGGTTCTGCGATGATCTTTCGTGATGAATAATGATGATGCACGAACATTCTGGCCCCTTCAGAAATTGTATTTCTGATTATTCCTCGATGAAAATGCTTCCTTCCATTGGGTAGTTTTGGTTTACCGTGTTCTGCCCTGTCCGTTCGTTGAGTAGTTCCGATTTTTCGTGATCGATATTTTGGTGATAGACGTCATCTTGTTGTCGGTCTACTGAACGACGATTGTTATTTGTTGCTGTTGCTGGCAAAAGAAAACAGAAGACCCGGTAGCGGGTTTCGCAAATATATAATTAATTGGACAGGTTCTCACCTTGTCCCTTTGAAAAAAGGGCCTTGTATAATTTATTGCAGGTCCTCTTCATTGGAGATTGATTTGGATGATCATATCCAATTAGTGCTGGTTGGTTGGAGATTCTTCGGTGAGCAGTGGATTAGACGACGAATAGTTTTCATTCAGCGGTGATGGTGCAATCGGCAGCAAACAGATTTTGGATACCGGTCGAGTAAATTTCCCGTGAGGTGTTTGTAGAGTGACAACACGAACGATTCCATCGGTTCCAGGGTGGATCTCAGTGATTCGGGCTGTTCTCCAGCGCATGGGAGGAGCATTTTCGTCTTTAATGATGACCAGTCGTCCAATTTCAATGGTGGTTGAAGGATTTATCCTCAAAATCATTAGGATCGTCGCTGATTGGAACGATTGGCCTGGAATTCAAGCAGCATTCTATTTGAGCGAGCAGAGTTTCAGTGTCATCGAAGGCCAAAGTGCGAAATCCTATCACTCTGACGAAGTGTTTTTGAGCCGATGCGATAGCAGCTTCCCACAGTCCACCGAAATGAGATGCTTTCGGTGGGTTGAAGTGCCATCTGATCCCGTTCTTGGTGCATTCTTCTGCTATTGCACCTTTGTGCTCCTGGGATCGAAGTAGGTGGCGTAGTTCGTTGGCAGCTCCTACAAAATTTCGTCCATTGTCGCTATAGATATCTGAACAAAGGCCTCGTCGGGAGACGAATCGTCGCAAGGCTTGAATAAACTTTGCTGTGCTTAAGTCAGCCACTAGTTCAAGATGCACGGCTTTTGTGCAAAAGCACACGAAAACTGCCACATATGCTTTTCTAGTTGCTGCTCGTCGATGGGGTGGTTGGATTTGAATGGGCCCCCAATAGTCGATGCCGGTTACGGTGAACGGTCGAGTTGCAGTGACACGAGCAGCAGGTAACTCCGCCATAAATTGTTCTATCATTTTAGGACGGTTCCGGAAGCAGATGACGCAGCCATGGACCATCCGCTTAACGAGATCCCTGGCCCCTATGATCCAATATCGGAGACGTAGAAGCGTGAGAAGAAGTTGTGGCGCTGCGTGAAGATGTCGAAGATGAAAGGATCTAACCAGTAGCGATGAGAATGCGTGTGACGATGGTAGGATGACGGGATGCTTGTTGTCGAACGAAAGTTGAGAGTTGCTGAGTCGTCCGCCGATTCGAAGAACTTGATTGTCGTCGAGAAAAGGATGAAACCATCGAAGACGAGACTTCGCTGGTACAGGTTGCCGTTGTAGTAGTTGTTGTCGTTCGCTGCCAAAATATTGTTGCTGCACTAGCTTGATTAATGTCGATTCGGATTTGATGATTTCCTCCGTGGTGAGGAGGGTGCTTGTTGGACGCTGAGTGATTTTAAGCCGACAGTTTTGTAGAAACCGAATACAGTACGCTGTGATCCGTAACATGCGTGCGTAGTTGGAGAACTTTCCGACGTGCTCATCAATGAATGAAGGTTCTTCGGAAGCTGGAACTGCCGTGAAGAGTAGCTTCTTGGTTTCTCGAAGGGCTTCATCGGGTTGTTTAGAGTTGGATTGAGCTATTGGCCATTCGGAAGATTCACGCTGTAGCCATTCGGGACCGTTCCACCAAAGATTGCTTACGATGAGATTATCCAGTGTTGTTCTTCTAGAGATGAGATCAGCTGGGTTTTGTATTCCAGCAACATGATTCCAAGAACAGTTTTTCATGACAAGCTGTATCTTAGAGACTCGGTTCGCCACAAATGTTGTCCAGGTAGAGGGAGAGGCCTTCAGCCATCAGAGTACTACAGTGGAATCGACCCAAAAAAATGTATCGGCCGTTATTTGAAGCGAAGCCATAACCTTCTCATAGAGTTGAGCGCCAACAAGTGCACCGCACAGCTCGAGTCGCGGAATGCTTTGTTTCTTGAGGGGAGCAACTATCGATTTAGAGGTCAGGAGCGCTACCTTGACGCAGCCATTGAATTTCGTTGATCGAAGGTAGACACACGCACCGTATGCGTGATCGGATGCGTCAGTGAAGATGTGGATTTGCAATGATGTTGGTGACGGAGAGAGAACGCAGCGTGGTACCCGAAGCTCGTTGAGGGAGGGAAGTTGAGACTGGTACGATTCCTAACGGGTCTTGAATGTGGGTGGAAGTTCCTTATCCCAGCTCCATGTCTTTCCCTCGTCATCCATGAGTGTCCAAATCGCTTGCATAAAGATTTTTGCTGTTGTTACGACAGGTCCAACAAGTCCAAGTGGGTCGAACAATCGTGCTATGTACGAAAGTGCGATCCGTTTCGTCAAAGCTTCGTAAGATGAGGTTGGGGGAAGTTGAGTTTTGTAGCGAAGAACGTCGGTGGCTGGCTCCCAGTGCAGCCCAAGGGTTTTTATGCACTGATCCCTGTCGAGGTCGACCGATGACTTGAGAGCCCTGTTCTCGGTCGGGACGTTTTCTAGTACCGCTGGTTCGTTTGATGCCCATTTTCTGAGTTCGAAGCCTCCCCTGTTGAGGAGAGCCTCCAGCTGCCTGCGTAGAGTTATTGCTTCTTCCACCGTGTTCGCTCCGGAAAACAAGTCGTCGACGTAAAAGTCCTTACGAAGAACGTTGGCAGCTTCGGGGAAATCGTTCTGCTCGTCATCAGCCAGTTGCTGCAGCACTCGTGTAGCAAGAAACGGAGCGCTAGCGGTACCGTAAGTAACGGTTTTCAGCTCGTATGTTTGTAGAGGAGCTTCTGGTGATGGACTCCACACGATATGCTGCAGGTTGTTGCTTCGTTGGTCTGTTAAAATCTGCCGGTACATTTGTTTGACATCGGCGTTGAGCAGGACCGGGCGGATTCTGGATCGCATAGTGAGCGATCGGAGGTCTTCCTGTACAATGGGTCCGATCATGAGTGCGTCGTTCAAGGATGGTCCATTCGGTGTACGGCACGACGCATCGAAGACCACGCGTACTTTCGTAGTGGTGCTATCCTCTCGTATGACGGCATGATGGGGAAGATGATAAGAAGGATGTTGTAGTTGCTGGTAATCCTGCACAAGTTCCATGTGACCTAGCTGAAGATATTCGTCCATGAAGTCTCGGTACTGATTGCAGAGCTCATCGTTTCGAGCAAGCTGACCTTGCAGAAGATGGAAGCGACGAATAGCCGTACGACGATTGTTGCCTACACAGATAAAAATTCTGAATTTTAATTGTGATGTAAACATTCATTCACGTAAACTTGTATTTCATTTCACGCAACCGAGCAGCTTGTAAACAATGTTGTTTACAAAGATGGGCTTTTGTATACAATATTTGCTACATTGCATGAAATGTGTCAGAACTTTACATGATACATAATGTAAACGTATATGATATGTGACGCTCCATTTATGTGCATTATATTGAACAGAAATTTACACTACTTTTTCGAACTGTGTAGGTTCGCGAGAATGTCTTCCTTCAGAGGCAGAGAAACGATGTAACGACCTTCGGGAGTTCGAGAGACCGTTCGACGAAAGTACTCTTCACATGCAGTTTCCTCCACCGAGTAACAAGTTCTTGAGCTGTCCTCTTCAAGCGACCAGAATTTCTCCATGAGATTGTTCAAATCGGCAACAGTAGCGACGTTGGCAACGATCGGAGTGATTGATGGGCACTGGGTGTTCTTCCCGGAGACGACCCAGCCGAAGTCAGAATTGATGAGAGTAGGCAGACCAGGACCAAGTTGGATTCTACCCGAGACTTTGAACAATTCAAAGAAGACTTCCGCACCTAGAATAAGATCAATTGGGCTGGTTCGACAAAAAGCAGGATCTGCTAGTTGAATACCAGGTGGAATCTCCCAAGACGATGTGTCGACAGCAGCTGACGGCAAATCGATTGCGACTTTCGGCAGCACGAGAAATTCAACGGTGGTGTTATAGTCGCAAATACGAGATCGGATTTTCGAGAGGAACTTGAAGCGCGATTCCATGGAAGATTGTCCTATTCCGGCGATAGGAATGTGGATTCGCTTACGGCGGACCTTGACAAGTTGCGAAAACGTTTCTGTGGCGAAGCAACATTCACTGCCTGAGTCTAGCAGCGCTCTAGCAGCATGTTCCGTCCCATTATCGTCGACTACGATGACTACAGCTGTGGCGAGCAGAACTCTTTCGTGTCCGTGTCCAGCGGAAGCGTAACTGACCTGCTCGTTGAGGGTTGCTGATACTGAAGCGGATGGTTGTTCGATTGATTGTTGGGTTGAATTCTCCTTCGGGTGAGGCATGTCAGCAACTTTCAAGCTAGTTGCAGCGGAACCTTGGCAAAGCTGAGTGTGATGGTGACCTCTACATTTGTGACAAGTGCTCGAAGACGGACATTCCTTGGCCATATGTCCCTTACGCAGACAGTTACGGCACAATTGGTGACGACGAACTTCTCTATCCTTCTCCTCAGCGCTCAATTTTGAAAAAAAACATACATTGGTACAGAGGGTGATGATCCGAGCAAGCAACACACTTTCGTTGGTTGGTTGGACTTGCTCCGTGACTGGCAACCACTCGTTGAACCGGTTTCTTGGAGAAGTTGATCGGTGATGGAGTCTCGGTGGTCTTTCCGATAGTTTGAAGAACCGAAACTCGGCGTTGAATGAACGTCGTTAGATTCTGGAACGATACGGCGTTGAGTGTCGATGCGTGTTCTTCCCAATCCCTCCGGGTAGTGGGATCTAAACGGATGCTCAGCATGCGGATCAGCAGAATGTCCCAGTATTCCGTTTTCTCCCCGAGCTGATGAAGGACTTTCACATTGGCTTCGAACTTTTCGACCAGCGAGTGAAGCTCCGAAGCGGACTCTTTTTTAACGGAGGGAAATTCGAACAGCGAGTCGACGTATGACTGCTTTAGGCGTACGGGATTCTGGTAGTGGTCCAATAGCAGATTCCAGGCGACCTGGTAATTGTTGGCACTAATAGCGATAGTTTGCACGAGCTTCAAAGCATCCCCAGAGAGCGACGAGCGAAGATAATAAAATTTCTGGATGTTCGACAGTTCGTGCGAAGAGTGGACCAACGAAACGAAGAGGTCGTGGAAGTTCAACCATTGGTCGAGATTTCCGGCGAAAACTGGCAGTTTTATGTCGGGCAACCTTACATGCGACGACTTAGGGCTTTGCGTGTTTAAAGAAGAAGACGAAGAATTGCGTGGCGACGTTGGTTCATTTTTATTGACGGCGAGCAGGAATCCCTTCACCCTGAAGTAGGACGTCTCGAATTCAATACGTTCCTTTAAGTGAGCTTCGATGGCCGCTTCATCCAGCGTTTCGAGCTCGGCTTGCATGGCATTGAAATCGTTCCAGATGGCCACAAGGTGATCCAACCGGACGAGAACCTCGTGAGCACCAGTATCCTCCTGGTAGCCATCGACGAACGACTTGATAAGTCCGAACGAGGTTAGGAGGCTCTTCTGCCTCGTCTTCAGCGATTTAATTCGCCGCTCGTTCGACATCGGGTAGGAATGTGTTGAAGGGTTGAGTCGGATCTGAAAGCCACAGACCGCGCAGCTCAAAAGGGCAATGAATAGCAAGATTGGAAACCTAATTACCTGATATCAGGCAAGCAATGCCTTGTATTTTTATCCAATCGTTGCTAGGAGCAAAAGAACCTAGATGTGGAGCGGGTAACCTCAACCTGGTGCGGCACGTGGTGTATACTCTCAGTAGGGCAGGCGGATGACCGGAGTTCGACGGTATCCGGTTCGAAGGACCACTTTGTCGGTAGCACAAAGATGAGCAACAGAACGGCGATGATGAGGTATGATGCAGGTAAGTATCAACTTTCCCTATCTTTCCAGGTTGCGGTTTTCGTTCAGGTACGTTCAATAATTTCACTAACACTTTCTTCTCCCTTTCACGTATCCACTACTATTTATTACTAACTTTTCCTAATAATACATCCAGTTCACTTTTTATTCATACAAAATTCTCTAGCAATCAATTCTTCACCTTGTTTACGTTTCACAACGATGACGATTCAGCAAGCAAGAGCCCACACCAACGACGAATCGAGCTTTTTATATCCGCGGGGTGATCGGAAGTTCTTTTTCCACCATGTTGCCATTTCCGAAGGGCCGTTAACGTCAATGGTTGTCGGAGTCGGTCGACCTATCAATGTTCGAGGGGATCGGCGATGTCCACGTTGCAGGTTGACATGTAGGTGGTTCTGCGATGATCTTTCGTGATGAATAATGATGATGCACGAACACTGTTTATCACACTACCAATCGTTTCCAGGGTTTGTTTAGGTAAATCCCAAAAGTTTGATTGGCTGCGTCCGCGTCGTGCTTTTCACATTTGCAATACGCTTTACCATGAAGTCGATCGGGGTTGCTCTCTCCTGTATAGAAACTATTTACACTCGTGCATTCGAAATCATTACAATTCACTACGAAATTAATCTATAGCATAAAACGCCCCTAGAAGCTATTTAAGCCACAGCCAGAAAGACCACTTTAGTTGTTCTCGTCACGCTGTCTGCCTTTGCCAAGTGGCTTTTTACCATCGCAGAAATGCAAAATAAAACGTGATTTAACCTCTTCTAATTGGTTGTTAATGGATTTTAATGAAAGCTATTTTTTTAAATCCCCACCCCACTGATGAACAAAATGCTGAAGAGTAATTTTTCTCTCCTTTTCATGACAGAGAGCGTATTTACCCGTTTATGAATAAACCATACTTTATCCATTAAATGAGGTGTGGCACTTTTCTCAGAAATAGGTTTTTTTTACCCATTAATGGGTATTCCCGAAACACCGTAAACGCCATTGGCTTCTGGTCTAAGCCTGTCGTTAGCCGCTGGAGGTGGGCATCAAAGACTTGTTTTGTTCCCGGGTCAATGGTTTTGTCAGCGTGGGGCAATTTTAGGTGCATGAACCAGAATAAAGGAATAGTTTTAATTTATCTTATGTAGTTTTTATTTTATTGGACTTGGCACAATGATCGGCCATCGGACATCCGACGAAAGAGGAGGACGGTCAGGACTCGAAGCTGGACGGTGGATGATGCAGATCGCACAAATGTTCATGCCATTTATTTTGCGTGCTCTTGCTTGCGGAATAGAGACCGACCGAAAATGAAACAATAATTAAGAAAACCAAAATGCTCGACAAACAACAACAAACTTTCCCCTACAAGATGATGCCATTGATTTGCGTGGGCGGCCTTAGGTTTGCTAGGAAAGTCTTAAAAAGTTTTGTTTACCACAGCTAAAAGGCCCTTGGTCGATTATGTATAAAAATCTTTTGAAAATTGGAAGTTCGAAGTCAATATTTTTCTGGCCCTCGTCTAGGCGGGAAGCTACACAATTCTGAAAGGGCCTGCCTCCCTGGGCACCTTCATTAGCTACGCCAATGGCAATTTGACCAAGTGAAATCACGGACCGAACTGAATTGTCACCATATAATTGTCTTAATGCCTTACATGTTCTAGTCGTTAAATGTACATCTAATGCCTAGCTGGTTCTCTGGTAGCTACGTTACGCTTTATGGCTGAACGGGCGTACACAGTTTTCGTGTAGTAGGTAGAATACCTACTGGGAAAGCTTCGAAGGATGCAAATAAATTAAGTTAAGTCCAGAAATAGATACGTGGTCTGTTCGGGAATGAAAGTGTTTGTTTGTACACCTACGCTAAAATTAATGCTTCTAGCACAGACAACGTTCACTGTTGCCGAATAAGATGAAGATAACCTAGTCTGGCGATTCAATTTAATATAGTATGGAAATAATAAATTGAATTCGGTGACACCGAAAAGGTAATGTATCAATTTAAATGCAGAAATTGTAGCATACGAATAAATGGCTTTTATTACAGAATGTAGAGATACGATACACAATATCAGTGCTATTCATAGCAAAGAGTGTACATACTTGTTTAATATCATGCTTTAATCATGTATTTTAATAACTTAATAATCATCACTGGTAAAAGGCTGGACATAGCGCACCTATACTGATCCACTCTTTGGAGGGTGCATCCTATTTGAGTGTCTGTTCTTCATGTTAGGAGCAGCTCAAAATGGATAACAGTGCTAGGCACGATAGTCCTCCGGCGAGATTGTTGATGCAGGTCCCACAAGTGAGCCGTGAAAATCAGCATTACAGGAAGCAAACAATGCAATCATCACTTATAATTCAGCAATGTTAGCGGTGAGGGAAGCATGCAAACAATAACAAGATTGCAGAGAGTATCTTCATCGGCTACCGCATGCAACAAACTGTACGCTATGAAATCTCAAAGAGGTGGAAATTTATGCTGAAACTGTAAACATATTTACATGCTACTTAATAGTTTAACACTCGCAACATGATGACACAGCAGATGCATGTACAGGAATTCTTGCATGATGCTGTTGAAATTTTGCTTCACATAGAATAAGTTTTCTATCTCCGAAACATAACATATGTCTTTAACAATAAATGAAAAATGTTGCCTGTTCTGCAATAGCTCGGGAATGAGCTTGCATTACAAAAATATACTTGACGTCTATTTTTAAAAAATTCAATCATTGATACATGATACAAACGATTATTGTACTTCGTCAATTCTATTCAACGTTAATAAAATCGAGGCAATCATCGTTCGGATGAAATCATTTCAATTATTTTTACTCATTCCATTATCGTGCAAATCCAACAAGTTTTCTCTGTCCTGTAGATTTTCATTCAGTAGCAAGAAGGCATACTGTTCATGTGGAACTGACTTATCATATGGACTGTTGTTGGGAGCTTGGTAAGCATCACAGAGTGTATTGTGTGAACCAGACAAAGAAATATAAAGCAAATAATCTTTTGAAATCATCGAACAACAGGACGCATTCAGTTGCTGTGATGCTTGATTGAAAAATCAAAGACGTTCTACCGAATGTCATGTCACAGACATGGATGTTTAAACTACAAGGAATCACGTAAAAAGGTACAGTGAGGAAAGTGGGAACAGATAATCGTGCAATTGATCTTTGAGTTACGTTAAATGCAGCTAAATGAGCTATGCTGAATGTAGCTATTCAATAATAATTTTCACTTTTAGAATTAGATTAAATTGGATAAGGCCATGAAGAACCGCATATTCTTTATTTGTCACTACAGTCCCACATTTGCTGCTAGGTCGACATGGCATACGCGGCTGACAGCCAAATATCTTAGCTTGTTAGTTCTGATGTGGTTTTTTTTTTAGTTTTTATGATAAATAAAATTAAATATAGTGAAATGGACACCTTTAAAAACGTACTTTTGCTACTATATATGGCACTTAACTTAACAGCACAATTTAATCAAACAAATCATTAATGTTATCTATACTTTACTCCAGGAGTTCAACAAACATATTTTAGTCATCATTTTCTGTATATTAAAGATATTTGTATCAATGCACATTATTCAATGTTGGCCCAATGTTATACCGTCTTACGGAAGTGCTTTCATATTTGCCTGTAACAACAATGGATCCTCTCAATTAGTATTGCACAATAGCGGCATGAAATGTTCCATTAAAGTTCCACATTTGCTTTCTTTACTGCATTGTCCCGATGGATCCATTCAAATTAAAGATTTTCACTTCCTTTCTTTGCTGAGTATTTCCCCTGTGTGTGTGAATTCTTTTCTTCCCTATGTACGTATAATAACAATCTCTTGTAATGAAGTCACCCATGGGTATAAAAGTATCAACATAGAACGAGGAAGCCTGATTTTCTCCACTACAGCATTATTTCAGCAACCCAAGGAGAGCAGCACTCCAGCTGGTGTGCACTTATTTAGGTTTAATTACAAAAACATCCTTCGGCACTGTATCGAAAAAACGGTCATACCTACTACTACGGAATTCAATTTACAGGATTACTTTGGCATCCTGCTGTGGAGCTGGGAACATGTTGTTTTTAATCTCGGCTAGCAATCATTGCTAGGTTTCACTATCGAAACGGTTGTGAAACAACGGTCAATGCTGTAGGTAAGCTCCGGTTGCGATGGAATAGAGAAGTGCCTAAGGAAATATGCAACCATTCATTGTGTGGCAAGTTTTTATAGCTTTTGTTATTGTTGGTAGTAGGTTGACCGGGATGACCACGTAGACCGATATTGGATTTTCGTTTTGCTTCAATACGGCTTAATAAATCAACAAGAATGGATATGCCTCGCATTTTGCGTAGCCAGCGACATACGTATTAATTGAACTTCTTTGGAATACAGCTGTATTCGTTCAGTACATGGTATTAAAAAGGATTATGTATTTAATACGTCACACTCTTAGAGGGAAGCGCATGTAAGATTCATGCAATGCTTTAGGAATAAAGTGACGAAGGGGGATAATTTTTTTTCAAGGCAATGGCTCATTAAAATCATGAAAAACTAGTAAGCTTGAGCTTGACAATCGTTCATACATTTTTATTTTTATTTGTATGGACCGTACACACTCGCCAAAACTCCCTCCTAAAGTGTCTTCGTGGTTTGTGAGCA